TCATGCTCCAAATCCGAGTATAAATGGAATTCGTCAATGTCGTTCTGTAGAAATAAGGATATAGGTCTAAGGATATCGAATTAAGAGTATAGGTGTAAGGATATAGAATTAAGAGTATAGAACTAAGGGTATAGGTGTAAAGGTATAGAAATAAGAGTATAGAATTAAGAATATAGGTTTAAGGGTATAGAAATAAGGATATAGGTTTAAGAATATAGAATTAAGGATATAGAATTAAGGGTATAGATGTAAGGGTATAGGTTTAAGGGCATAGAATTAAGGGCATAGGTGTAAGGATATAGATAAAGGGCATAGGTGTAAGGGTACAGGTTTAAGGACGTAGAGTTAAGTATATAGGTGTAAGGATATATAATTAAGGGTATACTCAAGAGATTCAATCCGACCTGTGGATCCTACCGGAAACCGATTGGATCCGAAACGGATTGCATCGGAATCCGACGCCTTCCGTTAAAACCGATCGGATCCGAACCAGTTTGCGTCGGATTCCTTGCACAGGATTCCGGACCGGATTACGTCGGAAAATATCCGTTCGACGGATTCAAACGGATTTCAAATCCATCCGACAGAATCCGCTCGAGCGGCTTTCCTTGGTTTGAATCTCTTGGGTGCCTTTTGGAGAAATCGAGATACCCAAGAGATTGAATCCGACCTGTGGATCTTACTGGCAACCATCGGATCCGAAACGGATTGCATCGGAATCCGACGTCTTCCGTTAAAAACCGATCGGATCCGCTCCAGTTTGCGTCGGAATCCTGTGCAAAGGAATCCGGATCGGATTACGTCTGAAACGTCGGATTCAAACGGATTTGAAATCCATCCGACAGAATCCGACCGAGCGGCTTTGCCTTGGGTAGGTGTAAGGGTATAGGTTTAAGGGCATAGAATTAAGGGTATAGGTGTAAGGATATAGATAAAGGGTATAGGTGTAAGGATATAGATAAAGGGTATAGGTGTAAGGGTACAGGTTTAAGGGCATAGAAATAAGGATAAAGGTGCAAGGGTATAGGTTTAAGGATATAGGTGTAAGGGTGTAGGTTTAAGGGTATAGATAGAAGGGTATAGGTATAAAGGTATAGCTTTAAGGGTATAGATTTAATGATATAGGTGTAGGCGATAGGTCTTTACCAGATGCGTGAGAAATCTGATTATTTATGATATATAAAAAATGATAGTAGAGCTGAAAAAGAACGATTATAGATCGCTGATTGAAATCCGACCTGATCCTGTTGGATCTTGCAGATTCCTTCCCAGGATCCGATAGAATCTTGTCGGATCCAGGCGTCGGAACTCGTCGGATCCGACACGAACCGTTCCCTATCAAATGTTTGTCGGATTCCAGATCACGGGATTCCGGATTCAATCCAACAGAATCCGACCGGAACGAGTCGGCAGCCGGCTATTTCCGACATAATCCGATATTGAATCTGGTCGGATCCGACAAGATCCAGTGGTCGGATTTCTCGACCTGGGTTCATGAGACTTCATAAGACTTCATGAGACTTCATAAGACTTCAGAGACTTCTGAAGACTTCGAAAGACTTCCAAGACTTCATGAGACTTCATGGCTGAAGTCTCTGCTGTTTCTCCCTTGCAGAAACTCAAACCCTCGTAGGGCTACACTAGTCGCACTAAGGTCTACATATGGGCAAAATATCACGTCAAAAGCGGAGCTTCACCTGCGGGTGTCCCCTCGAGAGCTCTACAATTGCTGAAAGTTTTAGCTGAAAATACCTCTCCTTTCTAGGGGAGGCCGATATCCCTGCAAAACGTTCTCCATCCGTTGATATCCTATAGTAAAACATTGTTCTTTATTCAAATACTCACTTTCGTTTGTTCGCTGCGCACAAAAACACGTTCCTTTTTAAATAATAATCGAAAGTGAAGGATTTATTTCTTGTGTGGAGTAGATAAGAATCTTTTATTGGGTGGTACTTTAACTTTATTTTGCTTTAATAAAGTAAAGTAAAGTAAAGTGTTTGACGTTACTTTACTGAGTAAAGTGGAGTTGGATTACCTTACTTTACCGATAAAGCAAAGTAAATCTCCTTTATCCGAAAAGTAAAGTAAAATAAAGTAAAGTAAAGTAAAGCGAAGTATCTCTAACTTTACCAAACAAGTAAGATGAAGTAAAATAAGATAAAGTAAAGTATGTAATTGATACTTATTGATTTATTAGTTCATTATCATACGGGTGTGGGTGGGGTGTGGGTGTGGGTGTGGGTGTGGGTGTGGGTGGGTGTGGGTGTGCGGGTGTAGATTGGGAGATGAGCCACACGCACACCCACATCCATACACTCACACCGACACATACACACCCACACCCACACCCACTCACACCCACACCCACACCCTATTTCACAAAACACGTTGTCGTATTAGTTATAATTCAACAGTAAGTTTTGTATTTTTTCGTCAATTTGGCAACTCTTTAAATTAGTTTTGAAAGAGTTTAAATGACCATGGCAATAATCTAATGCAGTTTTAACAACTGAATTTCAAGTTCCGTCTTCAATTTGTGCAATAGTAATATTGTTTACAAGACAAGAGTTTCAGTTTTCGAACTATTTCAACTGTCAAAACTTCTTTTAGAGGGTGTGGAAGTAAATCTCTAACTGATATCCACCCACACCCAACACAATCACACCCATCCGCATACAAATTCGAAATATTTTTATTTGATGCAAATTTTAAAAAACTGTTTTTATTCAAACCAAAAAAAAATCATTTAAAATATTTCGATGAGTTATTTTATTTAATTGCATATAACATCTGCTACTGAAATAATTATTTCAATTTGATCAATATCAGGCGGTATACGGCAGCCTATAGTGATGAATTTTAAATCACTGTGATAAAATCCCATTAAAACTGTTTCACCAGGTGCACCTTGAATTCTTATAATTGCTATTTTGTTTTGTGGTTGATTGGCTATTGATATAATTCGTTGTTGACTAATAGCTGTCCATTTATTTTGTTCGCCAAGAAGTGCATAATATATTTCTGAATCACCCAATTCGATGAGAGGTGATACATACCAAAGACACATGGATGCAACACTACATCTACAATGTGAAATATTGAGAGGATTAGTATCAGAGAAAGGTAATATTGTAGTTGTATCATCATATGACCAAAGCATTCCAGATTGACCTCCTATCATTGATGGATAAATTGAATAATCTTGTTTCATAGCTGATGCAAAGATTATATGGAAGGTTTGACCAGTTCTAAATACAAAATTATAATTAGAAGATTCGAAAAACGAAATAAACTTACATTGATGTTCGTGTTGAATAAACTTCACCTTGTGAAACACCATTATAAAAAGCCCAATCAGATACTAATGCATTGATCATTGTCAATGGTTGATCTGGTTTTAAAATCAAACCATCTTGACGACAACATCGCATGATATTTTCAACATTTGTATAATTAATTCCATCACCAGGCCCAACAGGTCCTGTAGAAAGAGTAGCAATCAATATTTCACGTTCTGGAAGTATTTCACGAGGTCCATCTTTATAAGGAGCATCTGGCTCCCATGTATTCGACCAGAAAACATCTTTAAATGGTGCTAAACCAATTGCATTCGCAAACATACTGGATATGCCAATAGCCCATTGTGGTGCAGTTCGACTTTCAAGATGAAAAGCATAATCAGTTGATACTCGTGCATGTGTCACACGTGGAATTTGTAAAGCAGTGAGAATATGCCGAGGTAAACTCATACAATATTGTATATTGATGCCGGTTTTTTCGCCTGCTTCACCCATTGACATTAACCATTGATGTCCAAGATGAATATCAGTACGTGTAGGTAAAAAATCTATCGTTTGACGATCAAGCCAATCTTGTTCATACAGGACGAGACCCCAATCATGTGCTTGAGTAAATAAATCAATCCAAAATGAATCATTACTAATTGGTAATGCTTTACCAGTACTTTCATCAAGAGCAAAAGAATAATTTTGTTTATAAATAGTATCATATGCCCAATATCGATTATGTGCTGCTAAAGGAATATTTTCTAATCGACGATGAAGAACCTGTAATCCATCAGGAAATATATCTGGACGAGCTGTCCAATTGGAAACACCATCTTTAATACCTTTGTAATACCACCATGAATCAAGTTGAATATAATGAAATGGTAATGGAATTTGATGACGAACATTGACCATTGTTTCTTCATAATTTATTTCTTGCTCTGTATTGTAATAATAATATCCACCGTTGTCAGTGTAATAACCAAGATAATTAATAGTAACATCATTGTAACGATTTTGAAGTGTTCGATTATATGCTTTTCTCATAGTTTGACCCCATTCTCTTATACCTTCATTAATACCTTTTGATGAATAGAAGACAATCATTGAATGATTATAATTTGCCGGTATTGTTAACATAGAACCTATAACTCCATATTCTAATATGTTATTTGTTTGACTTAATGAAGTAGCCATAAATCGAGAAAACGGTGACAGAACTAATATGTCATTTTCTCCTCGTTGAGTAAAGTTGAAAAGAACAACTGGACCGCCTTTCATTCCTGATTTAATGACTTTGTTTGATGCATTCCACCAACCAGCATGCTTTTCATCATCGCCACTCATTTCTCCTAAACAAAAAAAAAAACGAGAAAGATTATAAATGCAGTTCATGAATCAGTTTCTTACCTTCAAATGTAAAATAACCTCGTTGATCATTTTGATCAATTTGTTCAATATTAAACGATGGAAATATAGTACGAACCTGATCCATGCCAAGAGGAACTGTGGTTGTCATCATTTGATCACTAGTATCCAAATGAAATGTAATTCCTGAAAATGCACACCATTGACGTATACGACCCACTATTTTAGTAGGTATTCCATTGCGAACAAGTTCATAATTTAATTGAGTTTCAGTCCAATTACCTAAAATAGGATCATAATCTTGTGCAGAAGATATATTTGTTAATGATAGAGAATCATCATCTGTGGAATACCATTTGTTGTCTGCATAGATAGATGTATGAGATGAACGAAGCCATACACGATCACCAATATTAATTTTGTATTCTCCTTTTTGATCTACGTGTACTTGTATATCACACCAACATGCAACAATAAGTAAAAGAAATATTAGCAAATGCATCTTCACCCACTATTCTGATTCTAGTGAAAGTGACGATATCTCGATATTGATGGTATCTGAAATTCAAATAGTAAATATGAAATAAACAAGTAATAATCGTATGAGTCTTTAAAATAGTATAAATTGAATTTAAAAACTTAAAATAGAAGCAAGAATGACTGTTACCTTTTCTTATCAACTCTTATATTATGTTTGATATCTGCACACCTTTGCAATGATGTGTTTTAGGTGATATGTCGATAAAGCAGATACAGATAACTCTTACTGAAAACAATTATAAAAAAGTGTTCTACATACTACTGTTATAGAGAAAAGATGTATTCACATTCATAAAAAGAGAGATATTTGGAGATTGATATATTATAGATCTTAATAAAAGCATTGGATGGGCAGTATAAAAGATATAATCACAGAAAATATTTTCAACTGAATTTATGACTAGCTGCGGTTGCAGCTTAAATATTATACAAAAGTTCGATACTGTTAGGTTGTGCCCGATACTATTTTCCTTTATTGAAGATTCCAAATCTAACGCAAACAGCAGTGTCACATATCCAGGATTTTGGAGATGCCGCCACATCTCTCACGAGATATGCCAGTGCGGGTGTGGAGAATAGTAACATCGACAAATCAGGTTAGGCAACATTTCGGATAACTCCATTTATTCTGATTGAAAGTTTTTCGACTTACATCAATCTTCTTATTATATATCTTTAAAAATGTTACTTAAGGATTGGCCATCATGGTCAAATGCGATTAAATAGATTTATATATATGTCACTAGCTACATTGCTGCTTGTGAAATTTTCCTATTCGGCTATAAAAGTTTTTGTACAATTCCTGATGATGTAAGTGCATCTGAAGAAATCTTTTAGAGTAATAAAGCATCATTGTATATTCGATTTCAGGCCATTATTTATCGATATCGAGGTCTTTTCTGGTGTTTCATGATGGGCATCGCTTGTTTGGTTTTCCTCATCATTCTCATGACGCCACTAGCATCTTTTCTAGATAGACCACCATCATTTCTTGTTACTCTTCTTTGTCACTGCCACCGCATAAATAGTTTGTATTTTTATTAATATTTAATACTGTTACGAAGATTTTTTTTTCTTGTAGACGAGCAATCGCCTTCGAATCCATGGTGGAAACAAAAATGGTTTACTCAACTGGTCATTGTTATGACTAATCTCCTTTGTTGGATAATTGTCTTTGAGATCGGTCATTGGTTCTACACTAATTACGATCCTGCATATGATAAAGATAAAAAATTGGTAATTCCGAATTCACTTCTTACTTAGGAGTACAATCCGACGAGCTGCTTAATTCTGAGATATATAGCGAATACCGATGAATTTCACAATAGAAAGAAGTCTCAATCATTAGCTGAGAATCCATTCATGGGGCAAATTTTTTCTTTTGAAAGCAGGATTTTTTTGATAAAGTGGAATATTTAATTACATGATCATAAGTTTTTCTATTTTCTAGGATCGTTTTCTTGTGTACTATATGAGCAGTTTAATGGCATGGACGTTTTGGATAATAATCCTTGCGATGATATCTTTCATCACTATTGAAGCCAGTTTTTTCAAATAATCAATCAATATCGACACCATCCTACATAAACTCACCATTTTCAAACATTTGTGTTCTTCATTGTTTATAATAAATCGAAATCACATGTTCTATTCCCAAACTCTTCTTTGAATCCAAATTTGTTAAATGTTTTTTTATCGATGCAAAATCTGAAAATTGTCTACTGTCACAGTCAGTTTTATTTGTAATTGTTACACTTGGATATTTCTCAGTGACTCATATCTGATGAAGACTGATTGTATCAGAAAAGTCGGTTATTGATAATAGAAGGATTAACGATGTTTACATCTGCAGCATTTGTTTATTTCAAAAATTGATTTAATCACATAGGATGCAAAATTTCTATTAAAACTTCTTAATCAGTGATTGACATGAGTGTGAAAATAGTGATCCAGAGACAGATGGTATAATTTCAGGAGAAGAAAGTTGATGGAAATCTCAGACTATCAAGAAATTATCTGTTTCATTCATACGTAGGGATCTCATTACACCCACCCACACCCCACCCTATACGTAAGAAATTTGTTATCAACAAGCATTATGCCATAGTTCCCTCATTAGTTTTTTCGGGCAACTACCACAAAGAAGAATAAAGACGATGAGCTAGAATAGTGTTTCTAGAGTAAGTAATTTCATATATTATTCTATCAAATAACGAAAACCTCGTTCGAAATCGTTGCATGAGTGCCGAGGTAGTATTAATGTATTATAAAACGCCGTGTTTAAAACTAGCTGGAAACGATCTTGAGTAGAATAACTTGTTGTAAATTGTTTAGAATTCTTTTTGAGTGCTTCAATTCAAACACATTTTACGAGAAGACATGTGCCTTTTGATCATCTCAAACTCAATCATCCTTAGAAGTACGGAGCTGGTTGTTAAAGGAGTAGATACTTATTTTGACAATGAGAATTGAACGAGTCAAATGTGTTCTGGTCTCTTCATTCTTTTTTTATTGCTTTCATTTGCGTGAACAACATAATATTGAATTATGCCAATGGCCAGGCTATAGTCCGAAGTTTGTAGTAACTTGTCATTAAATGTTGTTCAATCACGTATCAAAGAGACTCAAGCAGTAGACTCACATGTTGTATCGTCATATTAACTTTTTCTTAGCATTTTGTACAGCTAAACTTGCACTATCCGAATATATCCAAGAAAAAATTTTTTTTTTGATTGTAATCTCGATATTTTAGATCAAAAATACGATTCTCAAGCGTTTTGTCGTTGGTAGTTACATTCGTTTTAACTCTAAATACTTGAAGATCCAAGACCCAAGATTGGTATCGATTATTGTAATTTTTAAAATACATAATCATAAACACACATGCAACGATTGATTCTCTTCATAGAATATGTGCTATTATGATTTTCATCAATACATCAACAATAGTATGTTCCTATCTTTTACAATGATTTGACAATAAACAAACATATTGAGTAACCATAAAAGAGACAAACAGAATTCTAATTTCCAGATTTCATCTTATGTACAAAAGTATGTTTGTATTTGTATCCTGTTGGCACAATCTGGGGGTGTAGGTATGCGATGTCGGTGTTTGTGGGGTAAAGTTTTTCGACGAAAAATATCTGAGGGAGATTCTTAGCTTCATTTTTTCGAGAAAACATTTTTCTTAAAAATTGTTTTATATTATATACCATTCGACGCATTTTGAAGCATTAATTTCCAATGTACTAGAAAGCTACAAAAGCTAGATTTTTAAAAAGTCCGCTGTGCAGTCTAGGGATAATTCAAAAGTTTAACAAGCAAATGAAGAAGAATAGCTTTTACCGTTTTATTGAGTTCTGGTTAGAGATTTAGAAAATGTGCTTGATTTATATGCTGAACAGTTTCATTTTGTTAGATATAAATTCATAGTTCATTGGATTCTTTTGACATAAACGAGCGATAACAAAACATATAAAATAAAAAATCTTGTTCATAGTGGTATTAATTATCAATATTCATGAGATATATGTTTATTGAACGAAGTTTTTCGTAACATCATTTTCTATATGAAGTAGGTTAGATACCTTTTTTTTTATTATATTTATTTGTGCAAAATATAACAATTAACATTGCAAATGAATATTATTTTGTTTCATATTTCATACAAAAAAGAATTATAATTGTAAGTTTTATTACTAATATTGTCAACCTGACAGATTGAATTCTCATAAGATATTAAGTTGCAAATAGTTTTCTGCTAAAATTAGTTTTAAATCATAAAAAGTGATTTTTTTTGTTGAAAATCTTTCAAATTGCTTATATAAATTCTGTTTTCTTTCAGATAATAAAATATTTTTTTACACTAGTCAACAATCTTACTACCGTTATTTGCAACTTCTTACTTTTCTTGACTTTATCCTTATGATCTAAATACACAAAAAAAAAAATTAAGGTCATGTAATAAAAAAATGTAAATCTCGTTTCACATTACGTACACTAACCACCTACTCTTTCTATTTTTTATCCAAAAGTAAAGTCTGCATAGAAAAACTTAGCATAGATCAATTTTTCCGGTAATAATAATTTTGATAGAATGTTTGATATTCCTAATTCTATTACGATATAGCTTAACATAGCGGGGCAACATTTTGGACTCCTCTTTATACGTTATATACAAAATGATAGAAGTTTTTACCACACGCAAACTATTGGAAAACTTGATTATTATCATTTTACTGTTAAAAATGTTGCAGCTTGCTTTTTAGGAAGTTTATAAAAACCGAATAAATTTTTCTAGTAGAGTGTGAATAGAAATCTGTGAAACATGTTCTTTGAAAGTAGGAACCAAGTTCCATCTAACAAAGAAAAAAAATTCGTTTTCGATCATCTTCTGTCCAAATACAATAGTCTGATATTTTTTCAGGAACATTCCTTCACTTTGAATGATTTTTTTATGATTTTAAGGGTTGACATAAGACACTTCTACTTTTCTTTATCTTTATATTTACATTGATCCTCTTTACTCCTCTTTTTTTCATGAACCTTCAGTGGAAGGCCAGTGTACAATCAAATTGAAAAATATTATATAAATAGCAATTGCTATTTGTCTTCAAGGTTAGATAAACATCTTTTAATTGAAAAATATGAAGCTGAAAAGCATGATGGTAAGAATGTCAATTAGAGTTAATTCAATCTTTCATATATAAATATTCATAGGAATATATAACATGTTGACCACTTTTTCTGACCTCATTTATGATTGAAAGTTCAAGATAATATAAAGAAATAGTTGCCAAATGTCGAGCTAAGGCAGAATTATTTTAAATGTCTAAGTACAATAGAGACAAACACGACTAAAGTATAGATCAACGCTCTTTCCTAAATAAAAGTCACAAACTTATACGATGGTATGCGTATCAAGAATGATTCAACATAATGTACAAACAATACATCATTAGATACTTATAGCATGAAAAGAAAAAAAAATCATATGTCAGCTGTAATTTAGTGACTAAGTTATGTATATGCTAAACTGTGAAATATGATAACGATTACTAAAATCAAATTTGTTTGTGATCTAGAGATAGCAGTCTGATGAATATCCCAGTGATTCATCTGAAAAACGAAATTTCATGGCGAATATTTTATTTTTTTTATTTTTATTGACAATTCTGCGTTTGTTCTATGCTTCAATCGAGTTATCAATATTGGTATCTCTTCTTCTTTCGTTATGAAAGGTGAAAGAAATAGAAAACAAAATATTATTTGTATCAGTATCAACCTGGCCTTTTCTCATTAATGTACAAAATAAATTTCTTCTTATTCATTCGATATTTATTCTTCCCACATAATCATTTGTAAAAAAAACAAACATATTTTACCTCAATCGAAGCAAAAAAACCCAGTTGTGAATCATATAAAAACAGAATAGACGAGAACGTCAGTGATTAATATCGAATCCATAGACACAGTAGATATATTTCTGTCTCGGTAATAAAAGGAGGAAAAAAAAAGCAGAGAAGCGTAGCAAAGGAGAAAGCAACAAATTATTAGTAAATTTGTTTCTTTTAGGCCAATACGAAGGTTAAAATAGTTATCATGGCTGGCGTAGCAAAACTTTTTGATGGTCATATTCTAAATAAATCAAAAGAATTAGTTGATCTTAATGATGAAAAATATAAAGACAAAGTAATTGGTCTTTATTTCAGTGCTCATTGGTAAATTTTCATTCTTTTATATTTTTCATTGAAATTTTTTCTTTTTTTACTTCGTTTTCTTTCTTAGGTGTCCACCATGTCGTAGTTTTACTCCAGTATTGGTTGAATTTTATAAAACACATGCAGAAGAAAAAAAATTTGAAATCATATTTATAAGTTCCGATAATGATGAAGATTCATTTAATGAATATTATAATGATATGCCTTGGTTAGCATTAGATTATAATGAACGTACAAAAGCAGAAGAAATAGAAAAAAAATTTAATGTTACCGGAATTCCAAAATTCGTTCTACTTGATGGAAATTCAGGAGATACTATCTGCACTGATGCAAGAAATCGAGTTCAATCAGAAGATACCAAAGGAGAAAATTTCCCATGGAAATCATCATAAAACGATTTCTCTTGATCACTCGCATCTTATTATTAATCAAATATTATAATTTTTCTTTCTTTTTTTTTTAAAAAGCGTTACGTGCTTTTTGTTTCATGTTCTTGATAAATGCCTAACTTAACCTATCTTTAACGAAATTCATATATTAAATAATCGTGAATTTTACGGCTTTTTTTTGAATAGATTTCTCTGCATAATTTTAATCATTTCAGAAAACATGCATCAAAGGAATGGATTGTTAAATGAACGATTTTTAAGAGAAGGGAAAAAAAGTAATTTATAATGTAATTTAGAGAAATTGTTTTTTTTAAACAACAAAATATTGAAAAAGAAAGTTGATCATCACAATACAAGTTATATAATTTATACTTTAGCTGGAAGTAAGATCATACATGATCTTTCTATCTATGTTTTCATATTGATTAGAGACAATAATTTATATATGCTTTCAAAGGATTGCGATGGTTGTTTTTTCTTGCCATCGGTTAAATCAAATTTTTTTCTTATGATAATAACCTTCTGTTGCAAAAGTCTTGGCATAAAATGTTTGTTCATTTTTCTGCCACTTAGAAGAATAGTCAATTAAAATCAGAATTTGGTGCTCTGTCTAAATGTGTATTCAGAAGTTTTCCCTAACGTGAAGCTGAATCATTGAGAACAAATTTTTAATGCGGAGACCAAAAATGACGTTTGTACAAAACACTAGTTTCCAAAGTCTTGGTAAATATATTTGGTGATTTTTTGGGCATTTCAATATAATAAAAGGGAATTGAAAGTTGTCGATTCGAACTAAACTTCGATGCTCTTTCTAAATATATCTTTAGAATTTTCCTCCGGCTCACTATCAGTTAGTTGTAAGCAAATACCTAAATCAATACAAAATGTTGTTTGCACCACATAAATAGACTTTCCCCTTCTCATTCGTAATTTCTCTAAAGAATATTTGGGGATAGTTTTTATTTCTTATTGTTGTAGAGAATTTAATGTTCTACAAAATCATGGGTTGCAATAAGCTAGAACTCAAAAGAATCAAAAACTAGAAATATTTTTCGAAATGCTACTCTCTATATGAGATGATATTTTTCAAAATAATTGTTTGTTTTTTGCGATTTTCGGTATTTAAAATGCAATAGATTCTGATGATTTTCAATGATATATTGAAAGCAAAGCAAATGGGACATTTTGTAGAGCAAGCTTTGTTCTACAAACTAGTGTATAAAAACACTTTCCTCGAATCTGAATTGAGGTAGATAAAATATTCTGTATAAACGTCGTTTTTTGGTCTCCGTGAAAGATCTGTTCTCAATGATTCAACTTCAAGTTAGAAAAAACTTCTGAATACACATTTAGAGAGAATACCAAATTCTGACACTCGAGTTACTTCTAAGTGACGGGAAAATGAAGAAACATTTTGTGTCGAGACTTTTGCAACAGAAGTTATAAGCAAAACAAAAAACAACAATAGTCATTTGGTTGTGTAGAAAGTGAACCAAATTTGTGAGCAAGAACAGAAACTTCTCCTATCAAAAAATGTTTGAGTATTCCTAAAATTTTTTCAATCAATGTGACGCTAGAATGACAGCCAATCAGAATTCAGCTTAGATCGACCAATGAAAATCGAACCATAATTTGCCGTACCCATCCATAAAATACTATGCCATCGTTCTTAGTTACGATTTAAGTAATTTAATGCAGCATCCGAACAAATCGAATTGTGAAACATGAAACTTCCACTTCACATATACTATCATCGCTTTTGCTTTTCCGATACACAAAAAAATCAATATTTCCTACAAAACGTCCACCGGACTCAAAGCAAGTCCGTTATGTTCAACCCTGCAGATTATCCTATCCTCTGTCAAATAAAGTTAATTTTCCTACTTCAGCTTCTGTCCTTTGTCTTACATTCGCCTTTACCACATCATGAACCCTACGAGCAGAGGGAAGTTCTCTTGCAGCAAATCATTTCAACTAATGTTACTGTCCATTGCTGGTAGAAAAATTGTAAATCTTCGAGGAGAGAAGTTAACTCTATATTTAACAGTCGCTAAATAATTTCCCATTTCATTTCCTTTCCAGTGAACTCTCCCAGGAACACGATCTGCCATAGGAGAAGAGCGGGTTTTTCCTGAAAAATCCCCATGTAGAAGGAGTTTCATCCATTGCCCATGACTAAGGTACATATGATCAGATAGAGAATTTAATTCTCTATCGAATTGCGCGTAAATTATTGTCCGGACTCATTTCCTTTCCAGTGAAACTTGGTGTGGAACATGATCTATCATGCGATCACAAGGGTTTTTATGCTAGGAAAAGCCCATGAAGAGGTACTTTCATCCATTCCCCGAGAATAAGCTACATATTATCAGATAGAGAATTTAAGGGTGTGGGTGTACTTAGTATAAGTACTTCATCGACACACCCACACCCGCACATACTTCCACACAAATGTAGAGCATATATATCTGAAATAACGGAGATATACCAAGGATAGATATGATACAGTCGGAATATACCGGAGTGAAGTCATGAAAGAAAGGAAGGAAGAAACGAAAAGAAAACAATATGGGAAAATATCTTTACAGAAAGAAGGAGAATGAAAAAGATAGCTGTAATGGATACAGTATATATTCAGTAGAATGAGCCCCAGGAGGTGCAGGATATTGGAGTCGATTCACTGCGTACATAGGAAACAGTATTAAGAAGTTATTGGCTTCATCTTTTCCATAACAACTGCTCTGACGAGTATACTCGTCGTTAACATTGAAGGAGTTAAACCCAAGTCGGATCTGTTGATTTGGCGGTACAAACTGGTTGTCCGTACGACATCTGTGGTGAGTCTAAAACTTTAAATCGACTATTCTTTTTTCTTTTCGCATAACATCTGTTTGAGATAAAAATGTTTTGTTTTTTTTAAATAAATAAAGGGCAATTTTTGTTTGTCGAAATTGATTCGTATAAACTGATGACGGATATACATAAATAAAAAATGGTATTGTTTGTGGTAAATAATAAATATAACAAAATAAAATATATATTCGTAAAATAAATTTCATATTAAAGTCAAGACAATATTGCGATGTAATTAATTCTACTAATAAACTTGGTAGCGTACATAACATAACTAATATTGGTGGAATTAAAAAATCTTTATGTCTTTTTAATTGTATTAATAATATTTGCCAAAATTGGTTTTCTATTTCATTTATATAAATTTTATGTTTTACAATATGTAGTAATATAAATATTGTTGATACTAAATGTAATAAACATGGTACACCAATATGTAAATATTCTCGCGTTAATATCCTATCTATTATTTTCCATGGTTTTTCTGACCATTCAAAATCATCACTTGTGCATCTATAAATATTTGGTAATATTGGATCTGGTTTTAATTTACGTCGTTTAAATTCTGTTATATGTGTTAAAAATATTAAATTTAATAATATAATTGAAAAAATAAATGAATATTTTCGTGTTCGATATAAACTATAACCAAAACATTCAATTAACATACGTTCAGCAGCAATAAATGAACTTGTCCATAAACTTAATGAAATAATTATTGATGAAAGTGCTGGTAAAATTGGACAAATAAAAAAATTATATTTATCTATTATAATTGTATTAATTATTGTTATTTCTCGAAGTGTAATTGATAATAAACTATATAATGAATAATTAATTAAATATATACCACATGTTGTTATACGTATTTGTTTTCTGAAATATGTTATTAAACAAAATACATTTTGTATTATTGATATTAAAAATATTAAAGTTGTTATTATAAAATAAATTGACTTTAAAATAATTTTTTCATTATTTGTTTTTGAATATTGAATATCAACAGATATTAATGATGTCCAAGAAAATTGAATATAATTATATTGTATTTCACATAATGATCCTTTAAAACATGGTAAACATTTACATGACCACCATTTAGATGTTTCATTGTTATATCTAAAATATTGACCTCCATTTAAACATTGACTTGAATTAGATAAATTCATATTTCAAAAAATATTATTTGAATACGTTTAATAGAGAAAATTAACTGTTCTGCACATTAACAACCAAAAAAAGCTACTGTTCTGACAAGAAACAAAAACAAATGAAACGATGGTCGAAGAGAAAATCTAACATCTGTAAAAAGAAATATTTCTTGAGGGTGAGGACAGCTGCCATGACACGTTTCGATTCCCGCCATGGAATCTCATCGGATGGCTTTGAAGATCAATTTCGATTCAATTAAAAATCAAAATCAAGATTTTATTCAACTGTTATACAGTCATATAAAATCACTATATAATGTGAATTCATTTGACAGTTGTGAGGAGGGTGTGGCTGTGTAGGTGTAGATGTGAGGGTGTGGGTGTCGGTGTCGGTGTAGACTCAGAGAATACCCACACCCACTCCCTTTGTCAGTATTTATTCGATGTGTATTCTTTTCTCCTCACCTTCTTTTTCTTCCTCCAAAATTACCATTTTATCAATTTAAGAGAGACTTATGACGTTTTTCCCCTTGAAATTTTCCAACTTACGATCGACTGATAACCTGTGATAAAGTAACATATGCCAGTATCATGATTCATACTTTGTTATATGACGCACAATGACCTGGCTTAGATGCGACGCATAAATGTTCATGCTTATTCTCTTTCTGTCTGATATACAGATACGTTGTCAAATTTTACCATCGCTTCTTTTCTTTTCTTTCGTTTTGTCAAATATATTTCCCTTGGGTTTTTCTTGATTGTTTCCTTGTATTGTCTCCTTGTTTGCCTTCACTTGAAGAATATTCCAAGTGTATAAAGAGATACCTTGGAATATTCCTCGTGCTTAATCGTCGATATAAATATCAACAGTTATCTTGATAAAGGTCTTCTTGAAGATCATCTAAAAACTCCATACATATTGAAGCATATCAAACATCATAGTCTAATTCGACGAGGAGGAACAACTGCACCAGTATTCGATAGATTTCAAGTTTGTTACTATCACTTCTAACAATCTATATTTTTAAAAAGGTGAGAAGAATTACATCAGACACTCTTTTGCATAAGCCTAATCTTGATTCGAGTATACACATTAGCATGTGAAAAATCGCATCTGACAAATCGACTGAACTCTAGAAAGAAGTCGTTTTTACGAAAGCCAAAAGATTCTTCTTGTAAATAACAATTTTAAGCCTTTTCTCATTTGGTGAAAGACCGGTTCTTTAGTGTAGAGGATTATGCTGAATAGAATGAAATGTAGTAAAATGATATTCAATTTCTAATTTTGTGAGGATGATGAAACAAGTATATGGTGAAATGAGAGAATTGCAACAATGTCTTCTTCTCTAGTTTTGTCGATAATTAAAGAAGAAAATTTTCATTCATTCAAAGCTAGAATCGAGCAGAAAGGATGGGCAGAATCAGATGCCACAAATGCGGTGCTACTGTGAGCAGTGCAGCTGTGAAAGCACGTTTAGCTGCTGATGACATAAAATAGACAGTAAACAGTATTGTGAAGGTTATTTGTGCCGATGCAATCGGAGGACTAGCTGTTGGAGGGACTGAGAATCCACCGGGTAAGACTAACTCGATTCATTGTGAGGCATGAAAGAAAGAAATACGTAATAACTGTCTGTTAAAGAATGGAGTTCTTGCTGAACAATACAATGCTCAAGGATACAAGTGCGTCAATAGACATTCCGAAAGATGGGTCAATGCTAATTAGAGTATCTTGGATCGCATCAATGTCCAATATTAATGACACCACATCTGCAACTGGCAGTCAATCTTTCATCGCCATTTCTCCTATATAGTCATGATTATTTTCATTTTTTTGCTCTTATCATGTCTTGTTTTTTCTTTATTCAATCAAGACAGACCCAAATCTACCATAGTTTTGAGATACGAGATTCTCCCAGAAGATTCATACCGGCGCTCCCATCTCCACCCATCTCCACCCATACCAACCCACATTTACACCCTCATATTAAATACATTGAACAAATGTATTTAATATGTGCTATGTGCTTCCTTCATTGATAAATAAATAAGAATAGATTTTTCAATTTTCTATTTCATTTATTTACTAGAAAAATATTTTTTATATTTTAAAGAACAACGGTGTGGGTGTATCCCTTGTTCGACCCACATTCGTCTAAAACTGTAGATACTACAAAAGTCAAGATCTTCATTTTTTGAGCAACCTATCGATTAAAAGTGGATTCTTGCCATCTTTGATTCTTACTTTTAGTTTTACTTTTTTAATACATTGTGAACGGTATTTTGAATGTTCAGAGAATATAAATGGTCTGCTGCAACATCAAACTTTCTTCGATAAATTTGGATGCTCTTTAGGTTGATAGACACTCAGATTTATACAAAAGATTGAGAATGGTGGAGAAATGAAGGCGCGATCTTTTGAGAGAAAAGTCTTCCTTTGTATTGTAATCCTGATGAGAAACTCGGATATAAAATGAAAAATCATAGTTGTCCTACTTTGGAACCGAACATTGCTCCTTTTTTCCAACCTATGCAAACTACTCATGGTTAAAAAATCAGCTCGTGAGGACGAACAATTCGGGAGAAAATTATATATTTGAAGTTTTGCCAGGAGATTTTTCGAATAATATCTATATCAATTCGCGAACAAAAGCACACTTGTTTTATATCAATCGATTCCTTGTAGAAGGTGTTATTGATGTGAGCATTTATGCATTCCGGGATAAAGTCACTATATATTGAAGGTTGATTTAAAACTAGGGTAACCATTCCTAAATAGGCATCTCTGTAAAAATGTAGAAATTTTGTAGGTATTGATTCATATTCATATACTAGCTTTGAAATTATAGATCTGAAATAGGATCTTTTTCTGAAGAAAAGAGTTGAACAGTTCTACGTAACGTATTAATGGTTTCCGTAAAATTAACTTGGAGATTATAGCAATTCTCGATGACCCTCGTATTTCGGTCGTCTTCATAATGGCAATCGGGAAATTTTTTTCCTGTTATCTTCTAACATATAATAACAAAATCAGCGGATCAAAAATGTTTAATTTGAAACTTTTTTTCGGTCATTTTGTTTCCAAAGGGTACCAGTTCTTTTGCAAATCACCCACATATATGTAGATAGATAGTACTTGATCTCTACTATGTAGGCATATAACGAAATTAAATTAATATTGTGTAATTTTAATATACGACTCGAAATCACAATAGATCAGGCGATGGATGATGTAATGCACAGATATTTTGTCGTCATCCTAACCAAGCGATAAATATCATCCACATGAACAGAATAGTAAAAATGACGTTGCATTCCAAACTTATTCCTGTCGCCTGGCTTGCTCATCTCGGTACATGTTACTATTTCATTCAATCGATCCGCAAGTTTTAATTTCGAGCTCTTTTAACAATTGCACCATGCTGTATTTTGACATTGGTTAGTTGTCATAATCTTGCTCCTCTCCCAATGGCATCTCTCGTTACCATTTCACTTTCATGGATGGTCACAATTCGTCTAGTGCACTTCACTGCGTTTTTGCCTGACCAATCTCGTTCCTTTGTGTCATTTATCGGTAAATTTGTATGGTTTTTCATTCCAATCATAAAGTGCGAGTCAAAGTACTCAATCATTATAAATCTTATGTCAGCTGGTATCAAATTCTTACTGAATCACTGGATTTATCGATGGCTTCTTGTCTGTGCACCGAGTGATAGTTATACCAGAATGATGATGTTCTATATGTTTATTTGTACATGTACGCACCTAGCTGACACACATGCTGCCATTGTGGGACTCGTTACATGCAACAAAAATACTCTTCTATCATATAATAATTTTCCATTTTTGTCGTGATCTATTCGGGAATTTTGGGATCGCCGTTATAATCAACATGTAGGGTCACTACTCAAGGAGTCGGTTTTCGAATCCACTTGTCGTTTGCTTCATTCATCAAGAATTGCTGTTCTGACAACTTTTACATTGAGTGGTCTACTTCATGCTCATGTGGCTGTTGCCGTATTCGGTACTTCATCTCTAGTATCGGCATTCACATTCTTCTTTCTACAAGGCATTGCTTGTTGTGCCGAAACTCTTTGTTGTATTACTCTACCAAAACCAATAGGAATCATGATAACGCACATATTTCTTCTTCTTCTTACAGCACCACTCTATATCGGATTATTTACACGTGCTGGTCCTGAGTTCTTTGCAATCAATCCTCCACCATTATTTGGTGCCAAATGGATACCTCAACTACCATTGCCAAATTTTTTTCTACTTCCGAAACGGTTCCATACAATAGATAATGCTGAAGTATAATATCGAAATAGTGAATTAAGAATATGATGATCTGAAATTTCAACTGGCGTATAATATTTAGTAGAGGTACGATAAAAAGATCAAATAATGACCATGGTCAGTTTCATTCGACCTTTTCTTTTCGGTAAAAGTTTTTTTGCAAATAGCAAGCAAATAAAGAAAAGGCGAATATCACGAAAAACTGTCTCATCTGCTAGAGACGTTTTCTTGCAAGAGTTCTCCTTGCAGCAAAGTCGCTCGAAAGAGGAGTTCAAGTTCCACTCTATTGCAGAATGTGGCGCGAAGCTACGAATATCGATGATCGAAAAAATCGATATCTCATGAAAAAACGAATAATCGTTTCTACGGTTATCCGTATAACGCTTTCCTCACGCAATTCTAAAGAACACTCAATTTATCGTTTAATTATCTATATGATTCATTATGTATCTTCATTTTTATCATCTTAAAGCTTGAAAAAAAAACAAAGTTCATAAAAAGAAGAGGCTTGCTATAACCAAAACTGTCCGCACCCTCTCATAAAATTCAATTTTATCTTACCTATACTATCACTTTGACTAATAAAATCAAACCTTTTAATGCATTCTACACTCTATATCACGTGACTGAGCTAACTGAAATTTATTCATGTTCTGTGTTCTCAAAAAGATTAGGTTATAGAGTTTTTTCATGAAAAATACTCCATTCATTTGCTTATATATTTAATATATATATATATGATAAATTACGCTGTTTTAGATCTCTATCGAATGATACATGAACATATGAGAAATGATTATTTGTTGGCTGAAACGCATAGATTTACTCTATATTGTATGTCAATCGATAATTCTCATCAAGATCTATCAAATGTTGATGAATAAGGGTGTAGGTGTTGAAAAATAGAAAATGGACACCCACACCCACCCTCGTTCTTTTTCTCCACATAAAATATGAGAATTTAAAAAACAAACTTTGCCAGTATAGTTTCTTTGAGGTTAAAATGTGAAACTAACATGTGTTCTTTATTCTTATTATACTGGTAGAAGATACAGTAAGTGAAAGGTTTGTAGCAAAATATAGTTCAGCACCTTTTCCCATTGCTAATAAACTCTAAAAAAGAAGTCCGATGCCTATTGTCCTCGTTTGCTATGGAAACGTACTCGAACTATTTGCAGCCATTTCCTCACCCTCCTTGCGATGTGGAGGTGGGTGTTAGTGTAAGTGAGTAGAAGTTTAACACACACACTCTACATTGAATGCTTTCAATCATCAATGAGACGAATAATCGGCTATTTTTTTGATTCACACAAAAGAATATATGCTATTGTTCCTTTCAAATTTCAAATGATACTAAACTCAATGTGTTTTTCGGTCGATAAATATGAGAATGTTCATCGTAATTGTTTGTCTTTGGTTACTGTTGTATGTATTGAAGACGATTAAGGGCACCGACAAGAAGTACAAATTGATCTCGATATAGTATATCATTATATTCACGAGTATATCGTTCTCTCATATCTGCATATTCATACTGCCAATTGGGTTGTAAACATTGTCCATATAAGAGAAGATCGTTGCCGTGTTGAAATCGATAGAGATCTTTTAATTTCGGCTCGATATTATTCTGCTCAAACCATTGATTAATATCTTCGAATGTCCACTGTTCAATCGGCTTGGTTTGATCCGCAACAGCATTCATAATCAATTCGATTGATCGATTTTGACTTGTGTGTAGATTTTTATCAAGAATTTTATCTTGAACATTGACTGGATCCGCGATAGGAGTCGTGGGCATCTGCGTTTGTTTGAATACATTTTGTTTCTGTTTTTGTGATGTATTATCATCCATTAGATTCAGAATTTCCGTAATACTATCACCGAAAGATCGTTTTCCAAAACGAATGTATTGCGCACCAACAATACGTATGCCTAACCAACTACTGGCGACAAAGTCATTTTTTAAATAGATCGGAATAAATCGTTTCTTTAGTGTATCTCTTGCATACATTACTTCTTGACGACATGATTTACTAGATTGATATTCTTTTGTAATTATAAATAGAATAACATGAGCATTTTCAATCGCTTCACTTATTTCTTCCCACAAATCACCACTACGACAATAGATAAAATCTACCCAAATATCAAGACGAGGATCTTCAAAAATAGAGATTCATTTTTATTATTTTCACAAGAAATATTGATTCTATCAACAAAAACTTACCTTTCTGAAGTGCATTGACAAGATCATGACAGAAGTCTGCATTTGTATGCGAATAACTGATCATTACATTAATACGATTACTCGGATTGGCTATAGATGTTACCAATGGTTGTTCGACCGTGATGTTCGATGATTCATGAACACGTGCTACAACAAATCAAGTACGTCAGATTGTTTGATTTGATTCATTGTCGTAAATAATATTCTCTATTTTGTATTACAGAAATCAACAAGTAAGATTCTTGCAGTTGATTTGCTTCATTACGATTTTTTGGAAGTATTATTTTCTTTCAACTCAATACTCGGGAAAGGATAGGATTGATCTGATATAGTTTTATCAGTTTGATAAAGAAGATGTATTGATTTATCTATCGTCAACATTGATCAGAAAATGATACATGACATGTTCAATTTACTAATTAACTATCTAATAAAATCGTCATTTTATGACACTGAAGGACAAAGAAAACATTTTTTAATATCGAAAAAGAGAAATACTAAGAGAATATACAATAGTTTAGATATTGGAGTATTTTTTTCCTATAAAACTGAATTGAATAATAAAGAAAGAATCATTTATTTTGTATGTTTTCAGTTTTTTTCAACTCAATCTTATCTATAATACAACAACTTTTTTCAATTGGATGTGAATGGATTCAACGTAGCTACAATTTAGTAAAATCCATCAGTTTATCAAAGATGGATATATTTTCTTTCATTCAACATTCTGGCCTATCAGACAATGTAAGAAAAGAAAATGCGAGAAGAATTTAGCTAAGTTATCAGTTTTTTAAATTATTGCGCCATGCACCTTTAAGATCTATTACAAACACTAAGATTACAAGAGCCAATATTCTATCTTTTTTCTTTGCTTGTCTCATTATAGAATTCAAAAATTTTTATAATCATGTTTCACAAATCATATTTTTTCACTTTTGTTCATATTACTGTTTCGCTCAAGAACAGAACTAAAGATACAACGAATATATCAAAAATACTCAAGTAGAAATTCTTATCAACTATTAGAAGAGAAATAAAATTAAAATTGTATAGAATTAATTTGGCTCTTCACATGAAACAAATAATGATCTAATCGGAAAGATAAATTCTTTTACTTACTGCTAATATTTTCACCAAGATTCAATAAAATACCATTGGCTGCTTTAAAAATTGAAGACATATTAGCAAAAACATACCGTTCATATTCCATTACACTTGTATCGTAAGCAAATGTTTTTACAGTAAGTAAAAATTGTCGATTAGTTTGAAGTTGAGAAAGATATTCATCATGAAACGAAATACTCCATAGAATATTGAACAATGCAGTCAATGCCAATGCATTAGCTTCATCCTCATCCATTGTTAATGCTCCACGAAAACGAATAAGTAAATTAGCAAAAAATTCGACTTTCGATGATAATGGAAAATTTTTTACTGGTGCTTCATCAAGTACATATTTTATTATTTCATCTTGTACAAATAATTTTGTAAGAACAACAATCGGTCGTGAAATATGAAAGTCAGCATAGAAAAAGTTATCCATATTACTAGCATCTATTATCGATTGTAGGAGATAGTCAAGAATTCGACGATGATTTTTGACATATTCACGATTCTGTTTTGGTTCAATCAATAAAGACATAGCCATACAGTAGAGTAATTGCATATTTTCGAAACCATGTTGTCCATTGATTATATTCGGATCGAGTAGACGATATGTACAATCTTTTAATATTCGAAGACCATCTGCTTGATTCAAAGCTTTGGCTCCTTCAATTTTTTGTGCTAAATTATAAAAAATATGTATACATGAACCTTGAATTTCATAAGGTAATTGTTCCATTTCTAACCATTGTAAAATATAGATAACAAAACCAGCATTAATAAAACTTGGTACAAGAATAGTTTTCTCTGTTAAAAATATGAGAAGATTAAAAAGTTGTTTGATTATCGAATCATCACTATGAATGTTTGAATTAATAAATTTCAAGAGCAATCGTAAAATTGATTCTTGATCATTGAAATCATCTTTTTCGAAAGTTATCCATGTAGATATTAGTTGAAGTCGATTGATAATAACAGACATTGCAATTTTTAATTGATATGTTTGTGTTTCCTTTTGTTTTCCTTCAAGATAATCGATCATGTTTGGCAATGCAAGTAAATCATGAGTACTAAAAAATACTCGACGAGTAAAGCTCTCATTCTCTTTGAACAAGGCTTCGAGATTGAAATTAATTTTTGTACTTAATACAAATGATAATATGTCTTCATACTTATCAGTTAGCGGAAGAATATCGCTGATATAGGTTCGAAATACCATATGAACAATATCGAAGGTTTCTGATGTGTATTCAAGTTGGTCGATACTTTGTATTTTATCAAGTATACTTTGATAATGATTGTTGATGTTGCATTCAATAGTATCGTCTGTTGATGATTGTTGTACAAGCATACATTGAAAACGATATAGAGATTCTTGAAGATCCAAAAAGAGACTGTTTTTCACAGATGATGGATCCACTACGGGAATATCTACATAGTGAAATTATAATCAATTTAATAGAGATGATAGATGTTCTCCTACCATTGTTTTGATCGTCAATAGTAGACTTCATTTTAGGATGAAATGGAATAAGATAATGAGTGACATGTGATTCTAATTTCTTTTCACTTCGAAGTGGTCGAAAGCGTGATAGAAACATGTTTTGAAGATAAATAGTATAGGTAAGAAAAAAAATTACCTGTACACTTTTTTTTTCGTTAAAACAACCTTGATGATAATGAAGGGAGATATAAATATTTATACATATGAAAAAAAAGACGTCGTTATAAATTTACATGTTCGTATTAATAACGATGAATAATTATCAATCGTGTTAGACTGTTTTCATATGAATCATGCTCTACAAATATATGGGAAGATTTTTTGTTTTAAACTAAAGGCGTCACATAACATTAAAAAAGCATGTTATTGATAATGTGTATAATATTCGTGATTTAATTATAACAATAATAGTGAATATTTGTACCAGTAGCCATCATAATGGTACTTTTAGGATAATAGCGGTACTTGTGTTCATATATGCTTCAAAAAGGTTTCTTCGTTTTCATCCAGAAGAAAATTTCGGAAAGCAAGGCATTACTATGAATTTCTGCTGCTTAATTTAGCCTTCGCATGTATTGCTGAAAATTTTTGGATACATCATTGTAGTCATCGTAACTATTGAGGAGTAGTCGATCGAATCAGATCAAACTCATGCAAAAACGTCATTTTGTCTGCTATTCTAATTTTCTCTATTTTAGGGAATCATGTCATTCAGAGATCAAGCTTGTCCTTATTCATGCACAATAATCCATGATTCGGAATTTTCATGGCAATAATTAGGAGGGTATGAATGTGGATGTGAATTGACATAGGTAGTTGGGTAGGTCAAAAAAAAGAAGTCCACTCACAGACACACTCATCGACACCCACCTACAGTGTTTGCGCGAAGGGTGCAGGATTGGGGAGGAGGTGTAAGTGTCTTTAAAAGTTTTGATAAAAGTGTGCACAACGAAAAACCATTTAGCGACAATCAGGAGCGTATCTGGCCTTCAAAATGTAGAGAATTGTAAAAATTTTTTTCCGCCGTAGGTATAAAAACCGTTGTCGATCATCTTTTCTACATGCAACTTTTTTCAGTACTGCGCAGCGACAAAATTTTTTTCATTTGCATAAATCAAACATTTTTGACAAGAAAACAGCGGTATTAAAACTATCAATTCAGCAGTTATTTTGGAAAAAAATGCCGCCAAAGACGGCAGCTTTTTGGAGTAATATAAAACAGAAAACTCTGACAAATATGCATTCATTGGTATAAAAAGTCAATTTTTTGAGTGACAGGAGAGAAATACTTTTTCTTTGAGATTGACCATCGAAGATGGCTACACTTTCTACTCTTATTTATCTTGAAAGATGAATACAGCTATAAAATATTTTATAATGAAAACCGAAATGGAAAAGAACTGTTCACTTATACAATTACTGAAAAAAACCTAATTCACGTAGTAAAAATTTTTGAAAAATGTTTTAAAATTAGGCATGAGAAAATTTTTTTGCTAAGAAATTTTATTCCAAAAAGCCTTTATACCAGTTGTTATAAAATGACTCCTATTAGTACTTTCAAAGCTAGGGGAATGACCCTCACTTACGCCACTTTTTTTGCTCTGACGACAACAGAACATTTATAGCATCAAATTCAATCTTCTCTATCCATATTGGATTATAAAATCAATACATACAGTTGTCATCTCGATCACCTTTTCTGTATGAAAAGAGTGAAAAACATGTGTGCAAGGCATCAGTCTTTCCTTCTACGATGACTTGAATTTCTCTCAATATAATCCGCCCTCACTATATTTTTCTTCTACTTCATTTTTTTACGTTCTCTTTTCTTTCTTTTTTTTTGTATTGTTCTATGTCCTTCCTTCTGATTACCCTATGTAGTGGCAAATACTATATTAATCAATCAACCAATGAATATCCTATTATATCTTTGATCGCAAGTCTAAAAGCAACAGCAGTGTCAAACCTGAAACTTGAATTTAATTATTGAAGTCACTTCAGATATTCAGATATTATAATTGAATATTCTAAAGTTAAGAAAGCTGGTGTCCGACTCAGTGACCAACATACCTAACCGGTATGTTTCGTGGTACTCTCACTAAGCGATATTTTCTATGTATGTATTTCGTGAATAATTGAATAGTTGAATATCTGAATATCTGAAGTGATTTCAATAATTGGATTCAACTTTCAGGTTTGATATGTATGCTCTTGTTTGAGTCAAGTTGGCTGCCGGTCTTCACAAATCCGTCACGGGATTGTACAAATCGCACGTATTTGAATCATTTAATCCATCATAACCTTCCACCAGAAGTACTTCTCCATCAAGTAAAAGTGTTGCTGTTGCACCGGCTTTAGGAGTCAGCAATGTTCCATTTCGTATAATAGTAAGGCTAGATATATTAAATAATTCGTATGTTTGTAGAGTAACAGATGAATTATAATTAGATTCCCCACCGGAAAACAATATCGCTTGAATAGACGGAATGTATATTGCTGTGTGATATCCTCGAGCATTCGATAGGCGTGCATTAAGCGGTACAAATATGTTTGAAGTACTGTTGTAGATTTCGATTGAATCGAGAGGAGCGTATGTTGCTGAAAAACCGCCCGCGATAACTGCAATGTCATTCGAAATAGCGGTCGCTGTGTGGCCAAATCGAGCTGAAGACATATTGTTGCTAACTAGTTTAAATGTATCTGTTACATTGTCACAAACATCTTCCGTAGAAGATATACCCATTGCACCTCCATAATAGCCGCCCACTAGCAACACACGTTTGCTGCCTCCATAATTAATCAGAGCCGATCTATGCTCGAATTTTGACCGTTCTATTCGTTATTCCGAGTAGAGGATCGAAAATTTCAGCATTTGAAGTATTCGAACCTCCAGCGATCAGAATTTCACGTGATCCTAGACGATCGGCTGTATAAAGAGCTCGAGCTTCTGTCGGACTCTTAGTATCGCCACTAGTGATGAGAACAGAATTTGTTTCGGGGATGAAGGTGCTTGTATGAGCAACACGCGCTGTGACCATTCTTGCAACTATCGTCCAAGTGTTGCTTGAGTCTATGAGTGAGAAAGACACTCTTTCGTTGCCGTTCTTTTTTGGATCGAATGAAGAACATTGAGGTTACTACGGTTTGAGAGACTAGTGTTGGTTGTAGTTTCAATCCTGCAGAATTGGGACTGTGGGGAACTTAACAAAGTTTTCCTTGAAGAGTGCTATAGGGATGCAATTTGAGCTGCAGTAGGCTTGTTGGTCAGAACTTTCTTGTGTCTTCAGCAATGATAGCAGATCAGATTCTTTTTCTGTTTAATAAAGTTAGTGTGTAAATATTTCAATCCTGATAGGATCTTGTTATACCTTGAAAAATCTTGTACACAGGGAATATAAGGATTTGAAACAGGATCGTGAACGATCTTTCCAAGGTTTCTCAAGGAATGGACAGTATTGAGACTAGGATTTCGATAAAGACGCTTCTATTAAATCTCATTTGTGTTTGCCGTTCGTGAAACTAAATCATTATGAAGTGTCCACTGATATTATTCTCAATTCATAAACCAACACATATGAGAATTCGTATCTTTTTCTTACTGGTTGTTCCAGAATTGGTCGTCGCTTTCTTGTTTCGAGAGATTATGACAGCCGGTGGCACAATGCAAACGGTAAGAATAACAGTTAGAGTCATCGCTGCTAATATCAACTTGTAGACTGAAATTTGGCTAAGACGAAAAGGACTCGATGAAAAAGAAAATGTGTTTTCAGTAATTCACCTACTGTCCCATTATTGTAATCGTCTTTGAAAATATCCGATGAATGTCCATATATCTGTCTTTCTCAGCTTCTGATAGATTGGTTTATTTATTTAATATTCTTCTAAGAGTAACGTTCGCTTTCTGTTTAATAAAACTGTGGCACGCTAACAAGAGACTCATATATGTGGGTTTCTTTACTTCATGTACTTCAGAATTAAGTGAATATTAGGGCTATTTTGCATTCGCATGATTACGTCCTCTATATTGAATGTTTACGCTTGTTGCTTCTGTTTCTTCACGGTCTTGTGTTTGAAAGTAGACATGCTAACTTGCCAAGCAATAAG